CCATGCCCAGTTTTTGTTTTTTTTTTTTGTTGGTTTTTTTTTTTTTTTTTTTTTGAGACAGAGTCTCACTATGTAATTCAGGTTGGTCTCAAACTCATTAGCCCAGGCTGGCCTCAAACTCTCAGCAATCCTCCTGCCTTTGTCTCCCAAGTGCTGGGATTACAGGTGTGTGCCACCAGGCCTGGATAGTTCCCTAGTTTAAATGTCTGTGCCTATCTTGATATTTTCCATATGGTAGAAAGTACATATTTGTTTTCTGCCCCACAACTCCTAATAATTTTGGGATCTCCAAAGTGATGTGCCTTAGTATGTGAATGAGATAACTGATGACTCTGGGTTCCTGATAGCTTTGGGATAGAGGAGTTGGTTCCCAGGAGGACCAGGCACCAATTGAAGTGTTGGAACTTGAGTCCCTGTGCCCCAGCTTCTGGGAAGGAATGAGGGGCTGAAGGTTGAGTCCACCACTAATGGCCAGCATAGTACTCAGTCACACCTATGAAATGAAGACCCAGGAGAACAGGGTCCACAGAGTCTCAGCAGAACTGAATGCTGGAGGTGCCTGCAGGGTGGGGCTTCTGGGGAAGGCATAGCAGCCCTGCTGCCCTCCTGTAGTCCTTGCCCTGTGTAGCTCTTTGTCTATATTCTTTGTTAGGTCCTTTGCAATAAAACAGTCTATATAATTGAGTAGCCCACTAAGCTCTGTGAGCCACTGTAATAAATAATGGGGGCAGGTCACTGTGGAGGGCTGGGAGGGCTTCATCTACATGGCCTCCCTGTGCCCTTGACTCTGCTTTTTTTCCAGTTACCTAGCAGAAGCCAGCTAGCTCCCTTGTGCAGAAAAGCGGGTGCAGACTAGGAACGGGAGGGTGAGAGGTGAGTGTGTTCTTGTCAGGGCTGGTGGGATGAACAGAGGCCTGGTCAGGCAAGGTTCCCAGAGAAAAGGACACATATAGAGCAGATATTACAAACTTTAATTTCCAGCACAGAACTTACAGTAGTTTTTATCAGCTTACTGAGATACAGCAAAACAAAACACCCTGGGTGACCTTGCAGGTCGTGTGGTGCATGGGTGGTTGTCTATGCTGATTCATTATTATATGATGAATCCCTATTGTGCACCTATGCTGAATGACAGAATTGTGTCCTCAAGTGCCTGGGCTTTGACACACCTCACAGCGGCCCCCTATAGTTCTTCCCATGTTTCTCTTCATTTTAATTATTATTATGGGGGGGTACCAGGAATCAACCTCAGGGCCTCATGCCAGGTAGGTTTTGTCTACATCCCTGGCTCCATTTTAATTCTTTTCTAACCCAGTTCACAAAGAAGATATTTTTCCTTCTTGAATAATTGATATTCACTGAAAGAAAAATGCTGTGAATAGCACTTAAAACATTTTTTTTTAAAGCAGAGTCTTCCTGTGTGTAGTTCAGGCTGGCCTTGAACTCACTGTGTGGACCAGGCTGGCCTTGAACCTGTGGCAATTCTATCTCAGCCTCATGAGTTCTGGGTTTGAAGGTATGTGCCACTATGCCTGGCTATTGCTTTTTTCTAAAATATGTGTGAAAAGTCCACTTTAGAGTCCTGTGCTATTGACACTGCTAGGATTTTGTACAGATGTTACTAAGAACTTTGAACCCTGGGGAGTCTTCAGAGATGTAGCATGGGATATTCTTCAGATTTTCCTCATCATTTGCATTTTGCATTATTAAAGGTTTTTTCTTTGCGACTCTTCCCTACTCCCCATACAGGGGATCGAACTCAGGACCTTGTGCTTGCCAGGCAGATGTGGTGCCTCTAGCTATACTCCTGGCCCAGCTCTTCTGTCTTTGCCAGAAATCAGTCGGCATGCTTTCACTCTTGACAGTGTGAAAGGGAGGGAAGAGTTAAACTTCCTGATTTTTTTTCATATTTAAATTTTGCAGCAACCTAGGATCATGATTTCTTTTTTAAAATTTATCAGCACTACTGAGGATTGAACCCAGAGCCTTCTACTACTCTGCATCTCCAGACCCCATGTCTTTTTTCCCCCCTTTGATTTTGAGGCAACGTTTTGCTAAGTAGCTCAGGTGGGGCTTGCACTTTCAATCCTCTTGTCTTAACTGCTCAGAGTACAAGGATTATGGGCACACACTGCTGTTCACAGCTTCATGATTTCTTCCTTTTTTCTTATTTTTGGTACCGAGGATCAAACTCTGGTCCTTGCGCTTGCAAGTCAGGCAGCGGAACCACTGGGCTAAATCCCAGGCCCCACTCGTGATTTATTTTATTCACAGTAAAAGCAGTTGGATTATTCACGCTTTGCTTCTTGGAAATTTGTTCATATGTTAAGCTAATGTATCAATGTGTACATAGGTTCTTTAAAAAAAAAGAGATGCATTTCACAATTCTTTCACCCACACAGGATCGCTTGACAATACACTCAAAGAACAGAGCCTCAGGAAACAGACGGAATTGATTCAGTGATTATAGTGGACAATATTCTTCAGGTGGAATCTGACTGACTTGCAAATCTCAAAAATGTCACAGGATCTTTTATAAATTTGGTAAAATCGCAATTATTTTCCTGAAGAGAATGTAAAGACAAAAGGGTAAGTCTGCTCTCTTGTTACTGAAGTACCATTAGTGTTTTTGGTGATGATCACCCTTTGTGAGAGCACACAGTGGATATTTACTGGGGACAAAAATCAACATTTAGCAAGGTGTGGTGGTGCATGCCTTTAATCCTAGCAATTGGGAGGGTGAGGCAGGAGGTTTGCTAGGAGTTCAGGACCAGCTTGGGCTACATAATGAGTTCAAGGCCGGCCTGGATTATATAAGGAGACTGTATATAAAAAAAAGGTTTTGTTGAATGAATGAATGCTAGCTCTTATCTGTAGACAGAGGCCATGGTGAGTCCCTCATGGACTCAATGCTATAAGAGAAAACACTCAGAGAATGAAAAGGATTAAGATGGCTGTTATTAGAATGCGTGGATAATTTCACAAGACCCAGCACTCTGTAGCTGTCTCCCTGGAGAGGATTTAGAGGGAGGGAGAGACATGGAGCAGAGTCCAAAATGTCCTGTAATAAGGGGCTTGAGAGTGCTGCTGGAATGCAGAAGGTGGGAGCTCAAGGTAGGATGCACATGGTTTGCTGTACTGTGGACTGAACCCAAAGTTTTTGTTGATCTGCATCCCCACTGCTTTTTAAATTTCTTTCTGGAAACAGGGTCTCACTGTCCTGCTAAGTTGCCTGGGCCTGGATTGAACTTGCCATTCTCTTACCAAGGTCTGCTGGAATACATTGATGGAGTGGACCATCAAGACCAGCTTTGTTTTGTTTTTGAAACAGGGTCCCATTGAGGTGACCTTGACCTTGAACCTTTGGGTTTGAACTGAAGTGGAACAGCTCAGTGCTATAGCCAAGTGCTACAGTTCTAGCCATTTGAAGACTCAAGAATCTGAAAGTGACTCCAACAGATGGAGAAAAACCTTTATTGCCTACTGGCTGAGAGTTTGTCCACTCCAAATTCTGAGTGTTGAGTAGAAATGGAAGCAACCTTATAGGGATTACAGAGTAGAGGTGTGGGCCCACTTGCTGGGTGAGCATGCTCACTCCATTTGAAGACTCAAGAATCTGAAAGTGACTCCAACAGATGGAGAAAAACCTTTATTGCCTACTGGCTGAGAGTTTGTCCACTCCAAATTCTGAGTGTTGAGTAGAAATGGAAGCAACCTTATAGGGATTACAGAGTAGAGGTGTGGGCCCACTTCCTGGGTGAGCATGCTCACAGAAGTGGGTGAGCATGCTGACAAGTGGAGGGCAAAGTTAGCATAACATTCTTTTTTTTTTTTCTTTTGATACCCAGGATCCAACTCAGGACCTTGTGTTTCCCAGCAGGCACAGTGCCACTGAGCTAAATCCCAGGCCCTAACAGAACATTCTTGAAGCATACCTGGCGAGAATACTCACAGAACCAGAGGGACAGAGTTAACAGAACATTCTCAAAATGTCTGGTAGTAACATGGTACAGCTCAAACAGTTACAGAACATGTTGATACATTGGGCAGGAACATGGTTCAGCACAAATGATTGCATTTCTGGAACAATGTTTTATGGAAAAAATCATGGGAGGGGGCAAATGCAAAGGCTTCCCCTGTTTGTTATTGCTTTTTCATTTCCCCCTTTGATGCCCCTATTTAGGTGTAGCCTCATGGGGCATCACTAGTAGCTACAGGGTTACGGTTCAAGTTAGTTCTCCCCAGTAATTGAAGTACTGACTATCTTGTGAGAGCCTGAACCTGGTCTCGTAGGAACTCCGTGAGGTACCTGAACAGACAAGGGCCAATCATCAGCAACAGGAAGATGGGGACCAAAGTTTTGAGCAGAGGGACCAACCACGTTGTCCATTTATCCCAGGTGAAACTCTAAAACCTGCTGGTTTGGGATTGTTCCCGGAGTTTGGCGGCTCTGTCTTAGACACCTTTTACAGCTTGATGACTGACCTCTGATCTGTTACAGAAACAATGCTCTTCCCTGAGAAAGATAGATTACCCACCTTTTTCTGCTGTTAGTCCAAGGCATGGCAGTTTTGAAGAATGACTATAGCTAAAGAGTCTGTATCTCTCTCTGTAGGCCTATTATAGAATTAGAGATTTCTTCTAAGCTGTTGGTTAACTCCTGAGAGTAACTGGTAGGTGAGGGCTGCAGTGATTATGCCTGTGGTTCTGGGTTCCAGTCCCTAAAGCTATTCCTAAGCTTACTGTTGGGTATCAGGAAGGGCGCTCGGCTTTGTTGAATGTGAGCCTGGACTGAGATTGGAAAGTCAGTGTCCCCAGGGGCAACATCTGTCTTGGGGCTAAGAGTGCAGGTTCCTGTCCACTTAGCAGGGAGGCAGAGATAGGCAGAGTCCTACAGAGCCACGAAATGCCAGAAGAGGACGGGCAGAAATGGTTGTGGACACTATAGTGATGTACAATAGCTCCTTTGATCTCCTTCCCATGCACTCAGTGTAAAGGTGAGGGCTGCTTCCATAGGAGGGGGTGCTTGTCCTCTGAGTCTGTTGGGTAGCACCTTGAGTTTTGTTTCCCAGTGAAGAGGAAACTGTTTGTATCAATCTTGTGAGCCCTTGAGATAGGGTAAGAGTAGGCAGTTGGAAGGGACTGTGGCTGCTGTGGTTTCCCAGAAGTCTCCTGGGTAAGGGAGTTCGAGTCCCTCACAGAAGTGTCCCTTACTCCACATCAGTCAACTAGGAGCTATCTAGTCTGAGCTGGACAGTGAGGCGATATTGTCAAGTGCCTGAGTTGACTCCTACATTAAGATATTTGTGGGGTATGTGTAAGATTCAGGTGAAGTTACAGGACAATAGATGTCCCAGTGTCTTGGGAGGCCCCCAAATAGCAGAAGAATGGAGGCCCTCTGGAGGGGAGGGCTGCTTTATACAGAGGGCCTGGATGGTGAGCTTAACTTTAGTAGAGGTGGGGCCAAATATAGGTCTGTATGTTGTGGCCTGACTTTTTCTGTGGAAGTCCCCTTTGAGTGAAGCAGTGACCTTAGTGGAAGGAGGGTTTTAAAATCTAAAGTAGGATGATAGGCTGTTGTGGACAATGCCAAACCTGGGGTGCGATGCGGGTATTTTCTGTGGAGGCTGAGGAAATTGGCATAACCAGCAGTCTTCTGTGAGACTGGGCAGGACTGGTTTAGTAAGGCATGCGCCAGCTCTAGGATGTAAGGGGGTAGTGTCTGAGCTGTCATGTCCCAAGACTGGCACCATGGAATCCCACCAGCAACATCAGATTATTGGTGCTGGCCATTATCAATTTAGGCCAATTTTTTTCCCCCATTAAGTTTATTGGTACATTGTAGGTATACAACACAGTTGCATTCATTATTAGGATCTTGTACCTTTACATAATGTATCTTAGTTGTTTTCCCCATTCCCCTGCTCTCCCCTCACCCCCTCTAACCTCTCCTATTTAAGACTTTGTTTCCATATTTTTCCATTTCTCATATTTTTCCTTTTCCCTTCTTTCCTTTCCCCTACCCATCCCACTTCCCCTACTCCTTTAGACATTTCACAATACCACTTATACGTTTGGATCCTTATTTACACTTTTAGTTTTTCATACCAGAGAAACTATTTGGTATTTACCCATGTGTGTCCTATTTATTTCAAGAATACGGCCTCAATGTGCATCCACTTAGCTATAAGTATCTCTAGTTTCCTGTTCTTTATGGCTGAGTACTACTCCATTTTATTAAAAAGAAAATATATCTTCTTTATCCAGTCTCCAGTTGATGGGCAGTTGGGCTGTTTCCAAGGTTTTTTGTTTTGTTTTGTTTGAGACAGGGTCTCGCTATGTAGTTGAGACTGACCTGGTACTCACTATGTTTTTTGTTTTGTTTTGTTTTGGTACCGGGGATTGAACTCAGGTCCTTGCGCTTGCAAGGCAGGCCACCGAACCGCTGAGCTAAATCTCCAGCCCCATGGTACTCACTATGTAGCCAAGGTTGGTCTTGAACTCGCAGCGATCCTCTTGCCTCAGCCTCCCAAGTGCTGGGATTACAGGCATGCACCACCACGCCTGACCCAAATTTTAACTATTACAAACTGTGCTACTTACTATAAACATGGGTTTGCATATATCACTGTGGTATGATGCTTTTAATTCTTCGGGGAAGATACCCAGCAGAGGAATAGCTGGGTCAAATGGGACTTCTAATCCTAGTTGTCTGAGGTATATTGATTTCCACAGTGGTTGCAAGTGTCTTCATTCCCACTGTAAGACTCAAAGTCTCACTTCCACTCCACAGAACATGAACAGCCAAAAAGGCCTGCACGATGCTGGGTCCTAAAACCCAGCAAAGCTCCGGGAGCTAGACGGAGGAATGAGAGTCACCCAGGAAAGAACACACCAGGCTAGATGGTAAACAGACCTTTATTAGTCTGGCCAGATGGCATTCTCAGAACCAAGTAGCTAGCTCAGAGAGGCGCCAACTCAGAGGCTGAAGTCCTTTTTATAGAGGGGTAAAAAGGCAGGTTAACATTCTAAGCTTGCAGGCAGGGGACAAAGGTCTGCTGCTTTGAGCTGGTGGTCAGCAGTCATGTATTCAGCAGTCACACATTGATGATTAACAGATACTGATAGGATGGTTTAGAGGCCACCAAGACATTCAGGATGAGCAAACAATTTAACAATTAACTTGGGGTCTCTATGTATCTCATAGTCTAGAACCACTAACTTACACGTTAATCAGGATCTGGACTTCAAACAGTACAAGATTGCCTTACATTGTTAAGCCAGAGTTTGAACAAAGGTCGGGGCTATGGCTACAATGTGAGGGGTTTAGAGCACTGTCTCCGAGGCCCTTTGTCATTTAGCATGGGCTTATAATTTAGGTCTTACACCACCAACAATGAAAGGGTTCCTTTCTCCCCACAACCCTAGCAGCATTTGTTATTGGTTCATTTCATGATAGCAGCCATTCATTTCTGGAGTAAAGTAGAATCTCAGTGTTGTTTTCATTTGTATCTCTCAAATGAGCAGTGATGTTGAACATATTTTCATATATTTATTTAAGTTTTACTTCGTTTGAGAAATGTCTTCATTTCAGATGCATTTTGTTTTGTTTTGTTTTGTTTGCTTCTGTTACGGAAGGAGACAGCAAGTGACACACAGAGAGGGAGCAGAATGGAAGTAAAATTAAAAGCTTTACTCCATCGATGGGGATCGATCACACCTAATGGCGGTGCCCTGATCAACTCCCCCATTGGGTTACAACTCCTTCTTTTACAGGGTTTTACAGCTTTGATCTAACTCAGTTGATTACACTGCATTTTTACAGATACTCAAAACATGATAGCAAGACAGTTCTTTGTCAGGGGAGTTACTTTTAAGATTCATTCAATTATCTACTCTAGCCAGGGGGAAGGGAGCTTGTTTGATTAACAAAGCTAACAATGGTTCTTTTTCCATACAAACTTTTGTGGGAGTCTAGGTGTCTCTGGTACTGGTTAATTCTGAACTAAGCAGCATGAGGGGCAGAAGTTATTTTACATTGTGACATTTCCTAAGTTTTTGCTATTAAAGATTTCCCTATTACTACCAGGGATTGAACTCAGTACCTTGAGCTTGTGAGGCAGGCAGCAGCTCCACTGAGCTAAATCCCCAGTCCTAGATGCCCATTTTTAAAATGGGTCTTTATATATGGGGGGGTTGATTTTTTGAGTTCTTTATATGTTCTAAATAGTAGACCTTTGACTGAGGAGCAGCTGGTAAAAATTTTTTTCCTGTATTGTGGGTTGTCTCTTAGCTCTGCTGGTGGTTTCTCTGGCAGTGCAGAAGTTTTTAAATAAGATGAGATCCCAGTTGTTGATTCTTTGTGCTACTTCCTGTGCTAGGGAGTATTTGTTCATAAAGTTTTTCCTATGCCAATATCTTCGAGAATTCTACCTAATTTATCTTCCAGCAAGTTTAGTGTTCTTGTTTTAATATTTAGACCTTTAGTCCACTTTGATTTTAGTTTAGTGCATGGTGAAAGATAGGAGTCTGGTTTTAATCTTTGGAAAGTTGAAATCCAGTTTTTCCAACACCTTTTATTAAAGAGGCTATCATTCCTTCAGTGAGGATGGTTGGCTTCTTTTTCAAAGATGAGGTAGCTGGGGCCACGGATTTAGCTCAGTGGTTCCACAGCCTGCCTTGCAAGTGCAAGGTCCCAAGTTTGATCCCCAGTACCAAACAAATAAAAAAACAACAACAAAAAAGATGAGGTATCTGAGTATGTCTCGAGTTTTTTCTGCACCTTCTAATCTGTTCCACTGATCCTCAGGCCTGTTTCTTTGCCAATACCATGCTGTTTTTATCACAGTGGCTTTGTAGTATAGTTTCAAGTTGGAAATTGTGATACCCCCTGCCATGTCTCCGTCTTCTGATTCCAAATGAATTTTTGGATTGTTTTGTGAAATACACCATTGGGATTTCAATTGGGATTGCATTGAATCTGTAGAGCAGTTTTGGAAATATGGCCATTTTCACTATATTGGTTCTTCCTACCCAGGAACAGGGGATGTCTTTCCATTTTCTTATAACCCCTTCAATCTCTTTTTTGAGAGTGCTGTAGTTTGAACAACTTATCTTTAAAGGGGACCAAGAATACTGGTGAAACACCCTATGCTAGTGAAAAAGCAAAGGCTAGGAGCTCCTATGGACAATCGTCCAGTCTGTCTGACTGTAGCAAGGCCCACAGCAAAAATTAAGCAGTCCAAGTAGGCCTTAGAAATCAAGGATAACAGTTAACAGTCTATAGGGTGATTTGAGGTGTCGTGTGAATGGTTTTCTTGGGCTTTGGCCATGCTTTGGACTAGTCATCTCCCAGTATGACTGGAGCAGGGTGGTTTGCTGGTGATATTGCCAAGGTTGGGTTGAATCCTGAGGATTTAAATTTGAGTCAAGTCAGCCAGGCATGATGGCACATGCCTGTAATCCCTGCACTCGGGAGACTGAAGCAAGAGGATCGCTGTGAGTTCCAGACCAGCCTGGGCTACATAGTGAGT